AACTCATAACCCTGAGATCAAGAGTTGCACGTTCTACTGACTGAGCCAGCCGGGCGCCCCAAGAAATTTCTGATTTAAAACCGATTTAACGTGAATATTTTATACTTGTTTCTTGCAGGGCATAAAAAGAAACTTGGCAATAGTGGATGTCCTCAGGTGGCGTTAGGAACATGAGATTTCTTGCATTTGGTGGCAGAATGGCTTCTGCTGCTGCAACATGTTTATTCGATGTTCCTGCTGAAAATGGGTTTCCTCCGCCTGCCCTTCGTGCTTTATTTTTTCTTCTTTCCTGATGTTTGTTCTTGTTTTTCAGATTCAGGATGATTGGAAGTACGTCGCCATGGTTATCGATCGCATTTTCCTGTGGGTTTTCATCCTGGTGTGCATTCTGGGGACGGCGGGGTTGTTTCTGCAGCCTCTGCTGGCGAAGGACGAGGCGTGAGCGCTGCACCGCGTTTGCCAGAGGGTGACCCACGTGGGCAGGGGGCGCATTTGTTTCTTCTGGTGGTAAAACACACTCATCCAGGACATGCACCGTCTTCATCACTGTTCGGCGCACAGTTCAGCATAGGACACACACCCACGCTGTTGTGCAGCCCCCACCCCCACCTCCAGACCCCCTTCGTCCCGGGAAACCCGAACTCCCCAGCCCCTCCCCCCGCACCCCCATTCCACAGTTTATGGGATTCTAAGTACCCCACACAAGCGGACTCATGCAGTGCTCGTCTTTTCGTGACTGGCTTCTTTGGCCGAGCACATTGTCTTCAAGGCTCGTCCGCGTCATGGGTGTCAGAATGTCCTTCCTGTTCGAGGCTGCGTGATGCTCTGGTGCCCGTGTGTGCATTCTGCTTATCCATTCATCCGCCGCTGGACACCGGGGTGGCTCCCAATTTTGGCTGCTGTGAACATGGGTGCACAAGAATCTGTTTGAGACCCTGCTTTCAATTCTTTGGGGTGTATGCCCGGAGCTGGAACTGTCGGATCCTGCAGTAATTCTACTTTTAATTTTTTGAGGAAGCACCGAACTGCTTTCCACCATGGCTGCACCATCCCGCGCACCCACGAGGGCTCCAGCCGGCCTCGTCCTCATCAACACTTGCTTCCTGGGCTTTTGGTAACGGCCATCCTAATGCATGGGACGCAGTGTCTCACTATGGCTTTGATTTCGCATTTATGTGATGTTGAGTCATGTTGAGCTGCTTCTCCTGAGCCTCTCGGCCATCTGTACGTCTTCTTCGGAGACATGTCTGCTCAAGTCCTTTCCCGCTTCTGAATTGGGTTGTTTGGGTGTTTGGGTTGTTAAGTTTTAGGAGTTCTCTATATATTGCAGATATTAACCTCCTATCAGATATGTGATGTGCAAATATTTTCTCCCACTCTGTGGGTTGCCTTTTCACTCTGTTGATAGTGTCTTTTGATGCACAGAAGTTTTAAATTTTCATTAATTCCAGTTTGTCAGTTTTTTGTCATCTGTGCTCTTTTGTGTGATAGCCAAGAAATCCCCGCTAAATCCGGTGTTGTAAAGAATCTGTCCTGTTTTCTTCCAAGACGTTTATTGTTTTAAGTCTTACACTTAGGCTTTTCTCACACTTTCTGTCATCAAGCTACCAGCATTGTTTTTGGCATTTCAAGGCTTACTTATTTATCCAGTTGTCTTGATTTTATCAAAAGAGATCCGTGCAAGAAAAACGTCAAGAGTATTTATTATAGATAAATGAACATTTAACCAGCCTTTTTGGTAAAGAAACGTCAAAATACAGTTTTCCTGCAACGTTAGGTGTATGCTCTACCACAGAATATGTAAAAATGGCCTAAATATGAAAACTGTTGCCCTTTTTGCGGTAGGTGAGGCATAATGAGACAGGGGAACTGGCTGCTCAGAAATGGGAACGTCTGTTTGGGTATCACAAGAGATTTCCTGAGGGCCCTCTTACCTAGCCCGCGACCTCCACGGTTTGTACTGTTTCAGCTGCTCCGCTCCCGCTCCCGCTCTGACCGCGCACCCCTGGTTCTCCCGTCTCCCGAGGGTCTGGGGGCCGCGCCTGCACCCCGGGGCATCTCCACGTGTATCCTGCAGCATCCCGAGTGACTGCTGGGAGAGGTTGTGCCTGGCCCCACGGTCACTGCAGACGAACCTCTGCAACAGCATTCCTCAGCCCTGGCAGCAGTGACGTTTCTGGTCAGATAATTCTGCACTGGAGGACTGTCCTGTACATCGTAGGATCTTTAGTGGCCCCCCGGCCTCTGCCCACTAGATGCCAGTGACATACCCCGGTCCCTTGCCGGTTAGGACAACCAAAAATGTCTCCAAAAATTAAGTGTCCCCTCGAGTGCAAAACTGCCCCTGACTGAGGCCCACTGCTTTAGACAGATTATTAAGAAGCAGCTCGCCTGTACCGCAGGTCTGAGTCTGACTGGCCACTGGTAGGAGACGAGGATTCCCAGAGACCGTTCTGATCTTCTCACTGGGCATTTTGATGTTTTGGCTACACAGAAATAAAACTGACAAAATTGCAGCCCGCGGTGACTCACGTTTCAGTAAGTCAAAGGAAGATTTCTGTAAAATTTATTTACTTACAGAAATTTTAAGTAACAGTAACGCAGACAGATGAGGAATCGGGGAGATGACGTGCGAAGCTAGCTAACAGGCAGTTTAAACTCAGCAAACCCAACGTTCACCTGTTAAATGACACTGAACATGTGCCTACAGTAGGACAGAGATGAGACGGATCCCCTCCATCTTCCAGAGAGCGCTGACTTGCCCTTAGATGATTACTTACTATAAATAAGGCATTTGTTCTCGCAAGAGCTAGGAGTTGCTCATCAAACCCAGGCTCCTGCTGGTGTGCTGTCCTGGGTCGCGGCTGAACAGGGGCACGAGAGAGGGACTCTAACTCGTGTACCCTCGACAGTCCACCCGGTCCTGAGTGAGCAGTGAAAGGCTACCGCTGCATGACATCTACCAGCCCTCACAACTCTAAGGCTCTAGCACTGTAACTGTTGGGACGAAAGAGAGAAACCAAAACATTACAGGTATGTAACGATGTGCTTCTACCTAATTAGAAACCACCTTTAATCTCGGAAGATGGTTTCTTCACAGTAGGATTTGGTAGTATCCATGGAGGTTTTGAGTTCTAAAACTGGGATTCACTTCATTGTAGAGGACTATTCTGAGATGAAGGATACAGAAGTGCTACAATTTATGTAGAAGATGGTTATTATGGAAAATATGGACAAGGGGGTTGAAATTATTGTTAATTATTGAGATACTTGTGCATGGCCACAGGAGTTGTCTATTGTATGATTTTACAATGGACGGTAAGCTACAAAAATAGTTAATACAACAATTGTTCAGTTAAAGCATCTACGGAATAAAGTAAGCCTTCAAGGAATTCCCACTTTTCACTTTTTAAAATGTTGGTTATAGAAAAATCAGCATCACATTAAATGGTTGCTGTACCAGGTAGCTGGCTTATTTAATACAGCAGTAGGACACTGTGCCCAAGGTCAGCTCTTCCCGCTGCAGATACAGGACAGAGAGAGATTTAAAATGTGTACCTTTACCAAATGCAGAAAAAGTCCTGAAATCAATCTTCAGATACAACGGGAATTTTCCAACACAATCGAAAGATGAGCTTCATGTTGATTACAAACCAGTGTTACTTGCCAGGATACAAACAGTAGGTTTTCACTAGCACAGTTCGGGTACTATTCCACTGCTATTTCTAGACCAAATGTTGAGTCAGTTAGTGCTTCTCTCATGCAGGTAAAATGTTCCAATGGGCGATCTATTAAGATAAACCAGTGTTAGCAACTGTCAGTCTGTTGGTTAGAGCTGGCGTCAAATTTCAAGCACAATGTACATTTTCTAAGTTTATAGGTAGCAGAGTTACACGTGCTTTTGGCAACCAAACTCCTACTGTGTCCCCTGGGCAGGTATCACTTATTTGCATCTCCAATATGAACCGGGACTATGATATTGGCCCACTTGTAAATAACAGGAACGAAAAGCCCAAGAGATCCAACAATTGAAACCAGAAGAAAAGTCCACAGAAACATCCGATCCAGCACCTGGGCTATGAATTTCCAGTCTTCAACAACCTGTTGCAAAAAAAAGAAAGAAAAAAACACACATTAAACACACAATTTAAAATTGTGTAATTACTGTAAGATACTACACACTGAGTTAGGGGCCAGATCAGGTTCTGCCTCCTGCCGCTGCTCACAACAGCGAGTGAGCCGGTGCTCAGAGCTCTGGGACACACACAGCTTCCACAGGCTCTCAGAGATGCTACGTGTTCTGTTAATTTACACGTTGATTTGTAATATATCACACGTGGCATATTTTGATAGATTTTTAATAGTCAGGATATACTACTTGGATATTTTTTAATAAACTAAAAAAAAATCTCTTTCTTATTATATACAGTTATTTCTGTTACTTATTCTTGCCCAGTAGTGTTTACTTATTTTAATTTTTAAAGAGAGCCCAGCCTAAGGTTAATTTCAAGTCAAATTAAAAGTTGGTTCAGAATAATACTTATTAGCCCTTAATCTTCTTCCCCTCCCCACAACCTGCATTATTTGGTTTTGGATTCCCTAGGGGCCATTTTAATCTAAGTTCATGAATTCAGATCTGCTGGCGTGGACCTCATTTCATCCCGTTTTGCAGCCTAAGCAGGGAGCGAGATCAGCAGCCCTGAGTGACCTCAAAGGAAGGGCAGGTGGAGACCAGCCCCTGAGCACCAGAGGCTGCCCCTGCCTTTGTGAGGCATGAGGTCCCCTACAGGAGCTCTGCTCCCACTGTGGGATAATGTGGACTTTAGGTGGCTGTAAACACCCTACTGATGGTCTCAGTCCCGCTGAAAATAAAACCCATTTACTGGCTCCAGGGGGGGTGAGCACTGGCCGTTTTGCACAATACTTTGCAGACATTTATTAAATTTCATCTCAATCCAAGTCATTATTTAATATCTATATGTTTTAAGACTCCATCGATAGCTTCAGACCTCATAAACTAATCATACTAATCATGAAATAGAAACCTTACAAATTGACAAGCATTAGAAGTTTTTCAGAAGTATATGTCATATGTTCCTTCTTGGGGGAGGGCTGTAATTTTACCAGATTTGCTTTGATGCTTCCCACACCTGCTAGAAATTTTTCCATTTAAAAAGCTTTAGATGAGAATTCATATAATTTTAATGGGACTATTCAAAGTAAATTCAATTAGGAAAATGCTATATTCATAGCTTTACAAATACTACACAAGAGAAAGAATAGTGACACTGAAATTTGACGTTTTAAAAGAAAATTCAACCTAATATCACATTAGGAGAATGTATTTATGTTCAATTCTTATTTTAAATATTAACCTCAAATAAGAAGCCAATGAGAGTTATTTTTCTCTAATAAAGTTTTACATGAATTTTTATTTTTAAGCAAATTAAGCATATTATTAAGCACTATTACTAAACTTCACATGAACACTTGGACATAGAATATATGACACCAGAGAATACCTTACTGCTTTTAATTTCACTGATATCCTCTTGTAAATGAACAACAAAAAGACATATTCTGGAAGAGATCTCTTGGCTATACTTACAAAGCCTACATTAGGCTCATTTGTTAAAAAATAAAAGAACTTCTGATAAATGATCATGCCAAGTTGTGCCTACAGATCACCACAGAGTTCAGACACAAAGTTATGGAAGATAAAACAACCACAGCAGGATTATCACTCTTGAGAATGACAGAAGTTGCCGGGGGGAATGGAGAAGCGAGGCGAGCAGAGATGCCCTGATGCAGATGTTTTAACTGAAACCAGCTTTGGTTAAAGATCGTCTACGGAGCAGCACGTCAACATTTCTGGCCCTGGACCTCTGCGTCGTCTAGAGGGTCCTGCCATTTACTCTACCAGACTTAGAAGCAGATGCGCATCTGTAAACAACATGTCACAGACCTCACGGACATCGTTCTCCTTCATGACGTGTCTGGTGATGTAGCGGATAGAATCAAGTGCAGCTTCCAGTGGGTTTCGAGAAGACTCTGGTCTCCCAGGGCTCTCAGTCCCCTCTTTCTGAGCGAAGTACCTGTCTACATGACTTCTCATGCAGAGCAGTTTGGGAAGCTTGTGGAGAAATATCTTGCGGACCCAAGGTGCCATGGCATCATGTGTTGAGGAAGAACGGTGGTGGATGTTGATGGCGAAGACAGTGACCATGATGGACAGTGTCACAAAAATCATGGTGAACACCAGGTACTCTCCGATCAGAGGGATGACTTTGGAAGACGAGGGGATGATCTCCTCGATAACCAGCAGGAAGACAGTCAAAGAGACCAGTACTGACGTGCAGAGACAGATCTTCTCCCCTTCGTGGGAGGGGAGATAGAAGACGAGCACGGTTAGAAATGAGAGGCCGATACAGGGAATGATAAGGAACAGGGTGTAGAAGAGAGGCAGGCGCTTGATTACAAAGGAGTATGTGATGTGTGGGTACCAGCAGGAGCTATCTGTTCTGTTCCCTTTGCTCCCTGTGGCGCTGACGATTTCCCATTCTCCATTGTCAAAGAAGTCTCTCTTGTCTACATCTTGGTCCTCTAAAATAATATCAACCTGGGACCCGTCGTAAGTCCAAGAACCAAACTTCATGGAGCAGTTCTGGAGATCGAATGGGAAAAATGTGACGTCGATGGTACAGGAACTCTTGTAGTTTGCCGGCGGCGTCCAGGTCACTGTGCCGTCGTGCCTGACGACCGCTTTAGTGCTGGCCCCCTCGAAACGCCCGTCCGCGCTGAAACAGACACACGCACGTGACAATGAGAGACGAGACAGCCCAAGCCGGCACTTCACGAGCCTGCTGTGAAAGCAAGCCCACGCCAAAGCATGAGACACTTTGCAGGTGATTATGCGTGAGATCTCTGTTCGAAGGCCATCTTCCTTAAATACGGAACCCTCCTAGAACCGAACTCCTTCCACATCCTCTCCAAGACTGACGATCCAACTCTATTTCACAGCTCCCTGACATTTTATTTATTTATTTATTTTTTTATTCATGAGAGACAGAGCGAGAGAGAAAGGCAGAGGGAGAAACAGGCTCCCAAGGAGCAGGGAGCCCGATGCGGGACCCGATCCCAGGACCCTGAGATCATGACCTGAGCCGAAGGCAGACGCTTAACCATCTGAGCCACCCAGGCGCCCCTCCCTGACATTTTAGAGGTTGAAAGAGTTCACCTTACTTATGAAATGTAACTAGACTATTTAAACAATCAGAGAGTAGCCAGAGCCTGAATCCACGTTCCTAGACTCCCCGCACAGTGCTCTTCCCCTCCATCACAAACACTGGATGCCTGCTACATGTGCTTCTCAAGCTCTGCGGCTCCATGAGCACACACCCTGTATTAGTCGACCAACATAAGCTTTCTTTGAAATACTGGTTTCTTTTATCTTAAAACTCATGTGACTTTTTTGCTAGACTCATGCTTATGGAAGCATGTTTTCAGCGGCCTGGAGTAACGTGACACTCTGGGGAGCTGTGTCCTGCAAACTTACATCTTGTTCCCTCTTCACCTACGGAGAAGTGTGCAGGGAAAAGGTGTTTAAACACTAATGTTTTTGCATAGCGTTTGCTCTGTCTTCATGCCAAATGCCTTCCTGCAAATACTACAGAGTGCTTTAGGAGAAGCACAGATTCCCAGATTTGCCATCGGGTGGTCCTAGAAAACCTGAAACTCGATCCCAGAATTATCCTTTCCCCAAGTGAAAAACCATCCTCAAAACACATCTAGGTAGGATGCCTATGAAGATGAGTTGACTCTACACTCCTCATCATGGGATAATTCCAATACAGTATTTAAGCAAAATTAGAAGCAAAACTTATTTGAACATAAAGTAGGATTTCAACTATTTTTTTAAAAAAATACCCCCCAGGTGCACCTGGGTGGCTCAGTCATTAAGTGTCTGCCTTCGGCTCGGGTCATGATCCCAGGGTCCTGGGATCAAGCCCCACATCGGGCTCCCTGCTTGGTAAACCTGCTTCTCCCTCTCCCTCTGCTGCTCCCCCTGCTTGTGCTCTCTCTCTCTCGCTCGCTGTCTCTCTCTCTGTCAAATAAATAAATAAAATCTTTAAAAAAAATAAAATAATAAAAATAAAAAATAAAAATAGCCCCCAAATCTAGGAGGCAATCTGCCAAATGTGTAGTCTATTAAGTCGGAGGGTAAGTAGGACATCAGGCTGCCTCGTGCAAAGCCCACCTTGCCACAAGGAAGCTGTGTGATTGTGGACGAGGTTATAACACCATCACCTGTTCATCTGTCAACAATGCCACCTGAACAACAGTGGGCATTGAATAAAGCAGAGAGGCACGGAGCACACGGCCAGACACAGAGTGAGTCCTCTGTGCATGTCCGCTACCGTGCACGTTGCCTCCAAGTGCGGGGACAATGGGATTGATTATAGGTGACCCCCCCCAACTTCCTCACAGCTTTCTGGACTTCCCAAATGTTCTACAAGTCTTAAAAATCAAAGAACACTTTTATGATCAGGAAACAATGCACCAAGAAAAGAGAGGATCCATAGAACCTATGTGTAGGTTCACAAAACACACATGATCAAGTCATGTGATCTTAGAGCTAAACAATGTTCCACAGGAAGAAAAAAGTACTAGTGCCTAATAAAAATGCAAGCATTTTCTTTTGAAAACACAAAGTGGCATTTAGAAGATAACTTACTTATCAAACAAAACGATGTCTGGAGTCCAGAGAGAGTCTGAAGGGACGCGTATCACTTTGATTCCTCCGTAGTCCTCAGGACGCCATCTTAACTTCACATCTGTCCACTCCTTCAGAACAAAGACAACAGCCTCAATTGCCAATTGCAGTGACATCGATAGTCAAGAATGGTAAAAGCTATACTTTTTACCACATCCAGAAGTTCTAGATACGAGAGCATCTCTGCTCGCCATAGAGAAAACTCAGCTCCACGTCTTTCTTAAGAGCATGAGAGTGCAGCCCTGTCCCCTGGCTCCAGCCCTGGTCCTCATGCAACACAGGTGAGGACTGTGCTCTGCTCAGCACCTCTTCCCCCACCAACGACCGCGGCCTGGGGCTGCGGCCATGGGCATGTAAGGACCGGGTTTAGGCAGACATTCTCTTTTCCAGCTGTATTGTCAATGGCTGGACTGGTCCCTGCAGGGGAACCGGATTTATTACACACTCCACGGTGTAAACACCTGTCCAACCTCCATGCAGTGACATTCTGAGATCATGTTAAGACTTGAACCCCCAAAAAAGGATGCATGCCTTTTAGGAGTTAGGGTCAGGGAAGTGGTAGTAGGTATTAAAATTCGGTATAATAAAGAAAGAGCAAAGGGAAGCACACAACAGCAGCTGAGGACATAAGTCTGATGGCCCAGAAGACGAAGAAGTCCTTTGTACAAAAGGGGCTACGTACGTAAGAATAATTCATCCCCCGTTCCCATCTCACTCCAAGTAAACACCACAATCCGGGCAGCGGCCCAGGTGTTTGCTAAACCCCTGGCCTCCCACTGCTTCTCTGACCCCCTCTACACACCCCTCCCTCCTCATGGTTCACTCACCCCTACCCACACTGGCCCGCTTGCTCCTCCTTAAACAGACCAGGCACACTCCAGCCGCAGGGCCTTTGTATGTGCTGGTCCCTCTTTGCCTGGATCACATCTCCCCAGATATTCACATGGCTTGTTTCTTCTCCTCCAAGCCTTGCTCAGACATTACCTTCTCGCGATGCTTTCCCCACCCACCCTATTTAAAAGTACATCCCTAACACTCCCGTATCCTTGCCCCCAGTGAAGCTTGTCAGTGTTCGAGGCACAATACGGCTTCCTTGTTTCTTTCCCCTGACTAGAAAGAAGCTCCCTGATGGCCAGGACTTCTGCCCATTTTGCTCACTGCTGCTTCCCCAGTGCCCAGCAGCTGCTCCACGGGAACCCCTCGACCCCCACCCTCCCGCATCCTGCCCACCCCCCGACACCCCCTACTCGTGTTTCTCTGTACTGCAAACCCTCCAGTCACAGCACTTGGGACCACTCGGGTGACCGTTTGCATTTCATACACACCTGTTTCAACCAGACATTCGTTGTCATTAACTGATTTTTCTCATCCTATAAAACAAAAATGTAAATAAGGCTCATTATTTCAAGTACAGAAACAATAATTCTTGAAATAATAAGAATTTTCACAGTCTTTTACAAACACTCCTGTCCGTACAGTCCCTATACCCTGCTCATCGATGCTATTCTCTAGAAGGGCAGGATCATTTTTCCAGCCTAATTTCACGTTATTCCCTTCAATATGCTCTGTATTTCAGATAAACTGCCATGGAGTACACCATTGGCATTTTAAATTTAACACTCACAGTCTCAACTACTCTATGTCCTCAAACCTGAGACACGGTCTAAGAAACAGGCACAGCATGATTTTACGTACTTAGCACTAAGAAAGGAAAAAGCTGACAATGAATTGTAAGTCACCATTAATGATAAAACACGTGGTGGTTTTGAAAGTGCTGCGATGTGGGGAAGGGTAGTTATGTCTCCGCTGAGCACAGATCTGAATCTCTGACGAGCTGCTATGAAGAAAAATTACTGAGGTCACTGCCCTGAGTGCAACCTCAGAAGCTTTCACAGCCTGCTTTTCTAGAGAACTGGGGTCTTTGATACTTGGTACGCACACCTCCTTGATGTTATTTCTTTGCTGAGACCAGCTTTTCACTGAATTCTCAAGGCCCAATTAAAGTGACATTTCTTCCACTACATTTTGCTGAAATATCATGGAGCCGACTGGACCTGTACAAGACCATCGTGATCACCAACCACAGTGTGCGGGATATAACGCTAAGCACAGAGACCCACAGAAGTAGGAGGCCATCCCTACGCTGCGGAGAGAGGAAGTGGTTTTAAATGGCTTAGGTGCCTGGAGGGAACTCTTTCCAACAGCAGGTGAGTGGCCCGGGAGAGAGGAGGAGGACAGAGGAGGCACCTCCCTTGGGACAAAGACAGCGGTCAAGTCCCTCCATGGGAAAAATCACTGGGAAATACAGCAAGGCCATCCCTCCTACACTCCGGTTCCAAACGGCATTTGTCCTTGATTAAAGCACTCGAGCTGGAAAGGACCTAGAGATTTTTTTCTACTGAAATCCACTGATTCTGCAAATATAGAAACTAGCCCAATGACGCCACTTGCCTAAACACCACCAACTGGTGAGAGAACCGACGTTAGAATTCAAAGCTCCTGAGTTTAAACCCTACCCTGCTGGCTCCACTGTCTGCCCCAAAGTCACGCAGCATCCACAGGAAGTGCTGGTCTCTGCGCCAAATGCTCTAAACAGAAGCATTAACAATGAGGAAAGGTCTGGTAAACCCATCGCCTGCAACGCTATAAGGCAGTAGGTCATCTTTGAGAATATAATGAAAATTACTGACATTTTCCCCAGAAAAATGTGAACACACATAAAGTTTGCACTATGGGCTAGGACCCAATCAATACTTCGTATCTTCTACGCAGACAGAGGAATAATACCTAAGTTCACAACCGGCCCCAAATATGGGGGTACAGCCCAACTTAAGGTCACCCCTTGGGTGTCTCCCAAGCATGTCTCATGTGTTCAGCACAACTCAGGATGCAACAGACGCAAACCTGAGCAAGGACAAATGCAGGACTGCACCAGGAGGCAAGAGCCCGTTAGCAGAAAAACAACTACACGTAAGTGGAGCAGACAATAGTTTCTTTAACCTGACCGTAAAATTAGCAACCGACAAGCAAGCCAATGTGGAGGATTAAGAAAGAGTGAGCGAACGAGAACACACGGGAAAGAAGGCAGGAATCTGAGGGAACTTCCAGGAGGAGCGCCCAAACATGACCGCTGACCGAGGGGGACAGAGCTTAATGATGACAGGGACCTCTGTTCTCCATGTGCTCGCCTCACCTCCCCCGGCTCCTGTCCTCCTTCCCTCTCATCACCATCACTGACCTTGTGTTCTGGGCTCTTCTCTCAGGAAACAACCCTTCGCCAACTTCCCTGCTTGGCCCACCCTTCCTTCTACCACCTCCTACAGATGTTCCTCGAGGATGGACCTTCCTGCTTCCCCTGCTTGCTTGAAAACTCCTCCGTCCCACGTTTTCAACACTCAGCCCTGGGCCAGGCTGTCCACGCTGACATCCTTAGCCTCCTCTCTCCTCACAGAGCCGGGCTTGATTTCCCAAGGCCCTCGGGAACATTTTCTTTTCCATGTACCACAATCACCTGCTATCACAGTGGAACGCATCATCTCCTCTGGCCTACCCCATATCGACGGATTTAACCTTTCAGACCCGTTCCTCTTCTCTTGTAACCGCTTGGGCTTCAAAACCTGACACGTCCCACTCTACTCAGTGCTACTCCTTCTACCTGGCCTCCACCTTGCCTCTCAAGCTTCTCACCTCCTTCGCTCAAGACCGTGTATTTATCCGTCCTACGGCTCTTCCCAAAGCACCGCCTTGACCCTATCTGCTGCCATCAGATCTGTCATTCACTCAGCACTTACCGTGCACCAGACACTGTGCTAGGCTCTGGGACGGAGCTGAGGAATGAAGCTTAGCCAGCTTTGAGGATGCCACACCAGAGTGCACGAGCACCAGCCGCTGTAACGGGCACCTCGTCAAAGTGCAAAGGGCCATGCGAACGGGGGAGACTGTCTTAGGAACTCTGGAAAGATTCCACCACAGGTCAGACAAATAAATTTGGCCTTGAGGGATAAGTGACTTGTTCCAAGAGGCAAAGTTCTCCAACAGAAAAACGCTGGGGGGCAAAGCGCTGTGGTGTGTAGGCTCTTCTGTGACCCACCGGGCCATCCCAGGGAGTGGCTTCCAACATTAACCCTTTGATCTAAACAGCTGAAAAAAAGGCTCCATGTCACTCCTACGCCTGTGATCATACTGCTCCTTGTTACTTCCCTCGCTTTAAAAAGTTGACTTTTTTACATCATATTTTTAAACAGATGTAATGAGAAACTTCCATAAAAAATGTTTACTATCTTTGCACTTATTAAAAATAGGCCTATTATAATTACCAAATAAATGACTTCTAAACTATACAGTATCATATAAGCAGTGTATTCCTACGCCTATGGTATAGTAATTTTTCCCTGCTGAGCTCCTTTAGGAAAATGACTGTCTCACCCACCTTTGTCATGCTCACTGCCTAACACAGGGCACCCAGGATGCTCCCAGGAAGCCTGTACGAAATGAAGTACGTAATGATATGCACACCTACCACATCCACTAATTGAGATATTGCAAGGCCAAACTTTATTTTTATTTTGTCATTCAGGTGTTCCACAGGACGAACCCATCTTTCGTAGTCTTGAAACAAATCCTTAAACAAACTATCTTCATGTTTTGCAACAAAGGATGGTTCAGCTAATCCTGTATAAAAATGTTTAAGAGTTAGTGTATTAGCTTGTCTCCCACCAAATACCTCTACTTTAAAAAACGTTCGGCTTTATCAAAGAACCAACCTATTATTTAGACTATTGATAGAGCTTTTACAGTAAACTATTAATACAAATGTTTATGATCAATAAGAGACACTGTGGTTTGGATACATTTCTTAGTTAAATCAGATCACTCACATGGAAATATGCTGAGTTCCCTAGGAAACACTCAGTACTTAATACAGAGTATTTTAACAAGAGCTTTTAAGCTTTTAAATAAGTTACCAGAGCTAGAGTTGCTTGTCATAAAATTCCAAACCTAGAAAACAGATACTTTGAAGTTCATTCATATCAACTGTAAATGTAAAATAAACAAGCTTTAACTTACATGATTTTAATATACGAACATATAAATATTCAATGAATTATTCAGATTTGTCGTACCTTTGTTTGCTATATATTTGTATAAAATTACCTCAGGGCCTAACACTTAAAAAAAAAGAGAGAAACAAAAAAAAGAGAGAGAGAGAGAGTGAAACAAAATTTTAAAAATTCCAGATGCCATAGCCATGGACTGGTTAGATTTACGGGTCACAGTTATGTTTCTACTTCTACTGAGTTTAATTAAGCCTCTAAAGAAATGAGAGTTTTTGGTGTTGTATGGGTCAGAGTCTCTGTCAAGGATATGTGAAATGTGTGAAATTCAAGCATGTCATTTATGAGGACTCACAATTTTACAAAGAAAAACCATTTACTTGAACCAAAATACCACTGGCTTATTCATCATAAAGTACACATGCAGGGAGGTAATAGTAGCTAGTGATGGTCCTTCTGCAACCTAAATGAAACGGTCTGACAGAAAATGAGAGCTTTCGTGTCTAAAAGCTGTTAATTTTAGAGCTTCATGTTAAAATAGCATTACTGAACTATCCTCTCCTAATCCTGTTTAAAAATTTTTAGCCTCTGAAATACCAAAAGTTTGAGGTTGTTTAAAAGATAAAGATAACAAATAAAATGTCCTTTAATAGCATCTAAGAACCTTTTGCCTTAGGGGAAAAGATACTAGCTTGAATTGCCACCTCAAATCTTGTTTGAAAGCAAGTAGGTAGGGTATAAATAAGTTGATAGATGAATTCTAACATTCTACCTAATGATAATTCTTAAGACACTGCCTTGTAGGCCGCCCGGGTGGCTCAGTCGTTAAGCGTCTGCCTTCGGCTCAGGTCATGATCCCAGGGTCCTGGGATCGAGCCCAGTCGGGCTCCCTGCTCAGTGGGGAACCTGCTTCTCCCTCTTCCTCTGCGGCTCCCCCTGCTTGCGCTCTCTCTTGCGCACGCGCAAAAATAAATTTTAAAAATCTTTTTTTTTTTAAAAAGATACTGCCTTGTAAATATCTTCTTAGTACATCCAATATTAGAAATACCATTTCCTTGACACAATTTTATAGAAATGGCAGCTGCTAATGTCAGTGTGATTTTAGCACAAAACCTTAATCATGCATTCAGATTCTACTTAGAGAATTTTTAGCTGGTTCTAAATGTTTTAAGTTTATGCTGCTCATAAACCTCAGAATGTTTAAAGGAGAAGATCCAGTGCATTCCCTCACTACAAAATGAGGCTATCGGACCGGAAATGCTGCTGCCGCAGAGCTGGCTCCGGGCGGAGTTCTGAAGGACACCCAGGGCCCCTCCACCCTTTGCTCTTTCCACCTGTGACAACTTTAGGGAAGTGCTTAATCAGTGCCACGCTCCCTGAGAGCTCTAGCCCATACTCGCGTTTGCTCATTCCTTCAACAAACGGTTACTGGTCATGTGCCCAGTCCTGGGAGCACAGGGAGAAACAGACACAGTCTGGCAGGAAGACTGACACAGTATATAGATAGGATACTACGAAACTCTATGGGAGCTGAATCGAACCGGAATATTCTTTTTTTGAAGTTGTTCTGAATAGTTAACACTTGCTCATGTATTTCTGCTCAAAATAAATAATTTAAATCAATTACTTTCAACCTCAGTTCCTTGGAATCCCAGGGCATTTATTTTTCATACTTTTTTCCATTCCATTTTGACCGAGATTGTGTACTATTTAACATACACTGTTCTGTGTTGTTTTCCAGTTATGTCACATAAGTCTGGGATCTCCAAAGAAACCTTTCTAAAAGGTAGAAATCATTTTTGGCACTTCTACAGCCTAAGTATAATGCTAATCACAATAGTTACCTTAATACATTTTAGTTTTCCTTCCCTTCCTGACTGAAAAAAATAGGGAACTAGGAGAAAACATTTGCAGATCATTTATCTGACAAGGGACATATATCTAGAATACATAAAGGACCATTACAAATCAATAATAAAAAGACCAAATAACCCAATTTTAAAATGGGTAAGGGATCTGAACAGACATTTCTCCAAAGAAGAACAGCCAATAAATGTCTGAAAAAATATTCAACACCTTTACCCATCAGAAAAGTGCCAATTAAAATTACAGTGAGGGACGCCTGGCTGGCTCAGTCAGGGCATGGGACTCTTGATCTCGGGGTCATGAATTCAAGCCCCACGCTGGATGTAGAGATTACTTACAAACACATACATACAACATACTTACATAAAATATGTTTTAAAAAAACTACAATGAGTTACCATTTTGCACCCACTAAGATAGCTATAACCCAAATCAGAAATAACAAGTATTGGAAAGGATGTGGAGAAACTGGGACTCTTGTACACTCCTGGCAGGAATGTAAAATGGTGTGGTTGCTTTGGAAAACATTTGACAGTTTCTTAGAAAGTTAACTATAGGGTTGTGATAGACCTGGCAATTCCATTCTCGGTATACACCCAAGAGAAATGCAAACAGCTGTCCACACAAAACTTGCACACGAATGTTCACAGCACCATTCTTCATAATAGCCAAAAAGTGGAAACAGCGCAGAAATCCATCAAATGATAAATGAAGAGATGAAATGTGGAATACCCAATGGAATATTAATTTGCCACTAAAATTAATGAATTAATGATGCATGCTAGAACAGGGATGAACCTTTTAAATATTATGCTACGTAAAGAAGCCAGTCCCAAAGACTGTAAATTATATGATACCACTTACATGAACTATCCAGAATAGGCAAATCTAGAGATACAGAAAAGTAGATTGGTGATTGCCTAGGGAGAGGGTGGCGTGGGGAAGGAGGGAGATAATGTTCAAATACCATTTTTGGTAACAGTCACGCTAGACTGAACATACTAAAAATCACTGGATCGTGTACTTTAAATAAGTGAGTTGTGTGGTGTGCGAATGACGTCTCGATAACGCTGTGACTAAAAGCAGAGCATCTTTATGACTGAGCTAAGATGAGGAGATCATGGACAACACAGCTCTGATCACAGCTGAGAAAATGTGACAAATAGTGTGGATATAACTTCAGAAAAATGTTATCTGAATAGTCACCCCACAAGTGTTCCTTTGCAAATAACAAAGATAAGATTAAGTGTGCAATGCCAGTATTTTCCTTATTTCTTTGTAATGTTTTATACCTTTCCTAGTAATAGTCTATTTTTTTAAATTAAGACTTCCTTCCTCTCAACAAATACTGGTTAATTCTACCAAACATTCAAAGAAGAATACAATCCTTCTCAAATTCTTCCAAAATATAGAGGAGGAAGAAACACTTTCGAACTCATTCTATGGGGCCAGCATTCCCCTGAAACCGAAACCAGACAAGGATGCCACAGAAAAGAGAACTACAGGCCAATATCCCTGATAAACACAGATATACCTTATGGTATAATCCTCAACTACATATTAGCAAACCAAATCACCAACACACTAAAAGGATCACTCAACATGATCAAATGGGATTTATTCCATGAATGCAAGGATAGTTTAAAATCCACAAACCAGTCAATGGGACACACCACATTAACAAAATGAAGGATAAAAATGATCATCTCAATAGAAAAGCACTTGACAAACTTCAATAACCATTCATGATAAGGACTTACAACAAAGTGGACACTGAGGAAATCTACCTCCACATCATAAAGGGCATATATGACAAGCCGACAGCTAACACCACACTCAACAGTGAAAAGCTGAAAGCTTTTCCTAGGATCAGGAACGAGACAAGGATGCCCACTCTCACCACTTTTATTCAACATAGTACTGGAAGTCCTAGCCAGAGCAATGAAGCAAGAATAAGAAATAAAAGGTATCTTGGGGCACGTGCATGGCTCAGTTAAGTGTCTGACTCTTGGTTTCAGCTCAAGTCATAATCTCGGGGTCCTGGGATCAAGCCCCATGTGGGGCTCTGCGCTCAGTGGGGAGTCTGCTTGAGATTCTCTCTCCCTCTGCCCCTCCCCCTGGCTCATGCTCACTGTCTCTCTAATAAACAAATCTTAAAATAAATAAATAAATAAAAGGTATCTAAATCAGAAAGGAAGAAGTAAAAATGTCACTACTTACAGATGACCTGATGTTATATATAGAAAACCCTAGACTCCATCAAAAAATGGTTAGAATAAAAAAATTCAATAAAGTTGCAGAATATAAAATCAATATACAAAAATCTGTTGCATTTCAATACACTAATAACGAACTATCAGAAAGAGAAATTAAGTAAATAATCCCATTTACAATTGCATTACATTATAAAGTTATAAATTTAACCAAGGAAGTGAAAGACCTGCACACTGAAAACTATAAGATATTATTGGAAGAAGTTGAAGATGATACAAATAAATGGGAAGATATTCCATGCCCATGGATTGTAAGAATCAGTATTGTTAAAATATCCAAATTACCCAAAGCAACCTACAGATTCAGTGCAATCCCTATCAAAATTCTAATGGCATTTTTCACAGAAATAGAATAAACAATCCTAAAATTCGTATGAAACCACAAAATACTCTGAATAGACAAATCAATCTTGAGAAAGAACCAAAAAGTTGGAAATATTACACTCCTTGATTTCAAACTATGTTACAAAACGATAGTAAAATATAATCAAAACAGAGTGGTACTGGTATAAAAACAGACAGAGGTCAGTGGAACAGAATATAAAGCACAGAAATAAATACATGCATATATGATCAATTAATTTATGACAAAGGAGCCAAGAAGATGCAACAGGAAAAGGACAATCTATCATAAATCACATTTGGAGAACTGAACAGCCACATGCAAAAGAATGATGCTGGACCACTATCTTACACCATACACAAAATTAACTCAAAATGGGTTAAAGATAAGAATGGAAGACCTGACACCATAAAATCCTAAAAGAAAACATAGTAAGCTCCTTGTCATTGACCTTGGTGATGATTTTATGGATTCAACACCAAAAGCAAAGGCAACAAAAGCAAAAATAAACATGTGGGACTATATTAAACTAAAAAGTTTCTGCACAGCAAAGGAAACCATCAACAAAATGAAAGGACAGGGGCG